CAGGAGTTCCAAACTGGACCCCTAAAGAAAAGTTCTCACTCAAAACAAAGTGTTGCAATCACATTAAATAACATCCACGTCATCTCTTTTCCTTTTCTTGACCATCCCAAACATGGCATGGTCAGTAGAGCTGTGGTCAAATCACATGGATGCCCAAACTGTGGGTTTTGGACTTCTGACAGAGCAGGAATTCCCCCTTACATTTAGTAAATCACTGTAGCACAAGCACAAGGGTAACCTCTGCTGCACACTTATTCAAAATATGCCCTTTAAACAAAAAGGCTTCACAATTGCATCTGTGGCATGTGACACTCACACTCACAGAGCTTAGGAACCAAGAAATGAACCATCATTACTGACCCACACAGTGAAACACAGCTGAACCTGGGATTTTGTTTTACTTTCCATCCTTCCAGTGGCCCAGCCAATGATACATTTACTGACCACTGCTCTCCTCAGCAACAGCTGCCTCAACCAGACAGTGTATTTATCTGAAGTCATTAATAAAAACACCATGTTAAGTGCAGGTCTGACCTGCACTCCCAGGTATCTATTGCTTTATGGGCCTAATTAAAATAGTATTTCATTTAATGCCATAATTAACCTTGATGACATAATAATGTCATCAAGCACTGCTAGAATACAAAACCAGAGCCTGGCAGCCAATTATCCTTCCACAGGTAACCATACAGAAAGCAAAAGAAAGTCTTCAGAGTTCTACAGAGAAATGAGGAGCTATTTTCTCTGTATTTTTGTCACAATTGCAACAGGTCCTCCTTTTTCTACCATTTTTCTTTGCAATCACCTCACAGTCCCTGGTGCAATTTGTGGTGAGTATTGTAAATCATGGACTTTGCATGGCTGGTTCTTACTGAGCTGCATTTCCTCCTCACCAGGACTGGCAGCTACTTCTGGAGAACTTTTTAAAAAAATCCTTCTCAACTTTCAGCTGATACTGATTTAACTTCAAGATGTGCTCCAGTTTTTACTGACTGGAGCAAAACTAAAGCTAAGAATGGCAGGAGATTATCATGATCTAGACTGAATCTGGATGATGTGGCTTGAATATAGAGAAAGATCAGACTATCTCAGAATGTCCCCTGTTCTATGATACAAGATAAATTACTAAATACATGCTTTAAACACATTTTTCACACCTTCTGTTAATGCTGCTGTGGGAGTCCTGGACCTGGAAATCTTACTTTTCATGTCACTGTGCTGCATTTCCTCAGCCTTTCGTAGGGAATTCCTTGAACATGATTTTTTAAAGAGCACAGTAAGATAAAGATATGACAGATTCCCACCACTTCATCTGGAATACTGCACTTATTATCATGATTCCAGGATTTGAGAGGCATGCAATATCTAACCACTGCAATAAAGCTACACTTACCTCAGTGAATGCACCCAGAGACCCCCAAAGCCCATTCCTGCACCATGAGAAAGCCTTGTGTGCACTTGAACATACACTGCTTTCCATCCTAAATGAAAAATAATCCAACTTCCCGAGTTCCCAAATATCTCATACCTTCAAATCAAATGGTTTACACTTTCAAAAACACATTTCTGACAGCTGTGAGAATATGCTAAGTTTGATATTCAAGGAAGAGCCACGTTTCACTCTCCAAAGCACAGAATTCATTTTGCACCACAGATTATTTTCTTCCACAAACGCACAGAAGAAGTGACTGCGACCTTTCCTTCTACCCTTGTATAATAAACAACTTGTATGAGGAACAAATTACCTTGTAAGCTGAAAATAAGTGCAGCAAAACTGACCTTGAAACCAAATTTACATGCAAATAATGAACATAGAACCAGTACTGAGATTTCACCCCAACAGCAGGGTTTCATCTACGCTTTATGATAAAGTGAAGTCTGTGTCCTAATATTGTCAGTCCCCAAATTCACACAAGACTTTAGAAAACTATGAAATTTTAAATATGGTTTACACTGACAAGCTTAGCAGCAGCAGGAAGTTTACCAATTTTATGGCTGAAAAATGTCTTGCCATTTCTTCTTAATCCTCCTCTATCTATTGAAGATTACTAAAACATGTCTCAGACCAGCAAAAAGAAGTTAATGTGGAAAGGTTTCATTTTGAAGGACCTCATTCAAAAGGTTGCTCTCCTGAACAAAACCAACCCTGGTGCAAAGGGTGAAAAAAAAAATACCAGTATGATAATTTTGGCAACAGAATTTCCATAGATATTTAAAAGAAACAGATACTGCTTTAGATCTGTTTCTTTGCACAAAAAAAATGTTTTCTTTTCAAAGCAGTATTTCCCTTGGCAGTAAGAATTCTCTTACTCATGGTACAGTGAGTTTCTTGCAGCAGACAGAGGTCCTGACTGAAGTCAAAAGACACACAGATACTTCTGCAGCCCATCAGGGCACAAGAAAGATGTGTTCCTTCATGCCAAAATTGGTTATGAATTAGCCAAAGGTCCGTACACTTGAACTGGCATCAGTGCTGACTTGTTCATGTCTGTTGAAAAAAAAATAACCTCAAAAGCCTCGAGGTTAATAAATTATAATTTCTCCTTAAAGTTAGAGGTGTTTGTTAGTAACAGAACTAGGGGATGTTAAAGACCATCCTACAAATCAGAGTCTTTCACTGAAATATGTGAGAGTTGGGACTTACAGAGCTCTTAGATAATGCACAAGTGATATATACTGAGGGAAGGGATTAGCATTTTAATTTAGGCTCCACTCCTAACAGAACAGTCCTTCCTGTCCCCCACTGCCTGGCTAACACTGATTCTCACCAATAAAGTGCTGCAAATGCATCTGGAGCAGTAGTGGGACTTGCCCAGGCAGCACTTTCAAACACAGGACATCCCAAAAGGTTTTATTTTTAATTGCTTTTTCCTTTATTTCCAATTACTGCTTTTCTGCTCAGCTGCATCACCAACAATGACTCTTCTGTCCCCTGCTGTAAAGCCTGACACTTGGGCAAATAACTGCTCACAGAAAAAGAAACCTGCCCATTTGGGCACACAGCATCAGGCTCCCAAAATGCAGCCTGAGACAACAAGTGCCAGGTTTTAGTTCTTCAATGGCATTAGCAATACAGAGAAGGTAAATTAGCTGCCAAGCACTAAAACTGAACCAGTGATTATGACAGTCATCTCTGAAAAAGCCTGGATCTCCTAAATGAGAAGCAGGAAAGCTTATCAACATGTGGTTTTAAAAGTTGGGTTGCAGTGACAAGCCAAGCACCAAGGATCAAAAGAAGAGTAAAACAAAACAAAACAAAAAGCCAAAAAGGCAGAAGGAGAGGAAAAAACACTGCAGAGGAACATTCTGAACATGAAAAATACATCATCTTGTGCCAGCAACAGAGAAGACCCTGGGGTCATTCTCTCCCAAGCCACATTTTGTCAGCAAGAGGAGAAGTAAGTGCAAGTGCCTTCACGTTGTGCTTCACCTCAGAAGCTTTTCTCCTTTGCTCACAGGATGTCAGCAGTGCTTCAGGTTGTACCAGAGGTAGTGACACAATCATGGACCCCTGACAACTTGATTACACAGAGGAGTGTGTTAGAAAGGGGTAACTGGCATTAAGATGAATTTTCTGTTGTGTACATGAAGCACGTTGGAGCTGTTCTTTGCACTGTTTTGTTTCAATGGGTGTGTGCAACCCAGGCCTGTGGCACCCACTGCCCACAAACCACCTGGGAAAGGGAACAGCCACAACCAGCTGCTGTTAAAAAACCTCAAAATGACATCAAGAGCGAACACCTTGCAGCAGAAAACCTGAAAATGAACTGGATAGGGCTGAATGGAAGCAATTTCACAGTTACAGACTTGTGGAAATTAAGTTAGGGGCACCTTGCATACAGTGCCCCTGCACTGAGCCAGGAGACAGCTCTCCTCCCACACCCAGAACTCAGCTATGATTTCTACAGCTATAAACACATGTTAATCTTAGAATTGCATCTGGCAATGAAATAGTTTCATGTGCTCCCTTTCAAAAGAGGGCATTTTGCAAAAGGTGATACTTTCAGCTTAGGGTTTATTTCCAATCATAAAAGCCAAAATAATCAAACATACAATTCTTGATACCAAACCCAGAATGCAGATAATCTCAGTTTATCTAAAACAGCATTACTGCAGGTGAGCAGATCACTGTGATCCATAATTCAAAAAACACCATCCCAATTTGCAGGCAGCAGTAGTCTAAATTCAGTTCTGCTTGGGGTAATGCCTGTCAGCAGACAATTACTGAGACTGTCTTTAAATGAGTAAATTTCCATCTTTTCTGTCTTGAAAAAAAATACAGCACACAGTAGGAATATAAAGTTGTCCTTGGCTTTTTTTTCCCTTCAAAAGTGTGGCTGGTCTTGCATTATAAAAGGTAACACTGCTGGAAGCTCAGCACTCACCTGCCAGACAGATGAGCTGAGACTGAGCTCTTTCTCTCTAGACATCCTGCCCTAGAGTAATTCTAGTTCCAAATGATCCACTTCTTATAAAAATCTCAAACCAGCCTCAAAGGCTTTTTATTTAGGTATAACTGACAGCCATCAGAATGCTCATCGCTGTCAGATCTCCTGGAAGCAGGGATGGACTTATAACCATGTTCCAGCAGGTGAGCAGAGCTGTGCTAATCAATCATCTTCACACCCAGCCCCCAGCCATCTCAGGGGATTAAGCCCACCTTGAACAGCAAAGGAACTTCAGGCCAGTCTAAAATAAGCTGTTTATTTTGGATTTGCTGCAGTCACAGCTTTGCTCTTGCTGCACAGTGCCCTGCTAAGCTGTCAGAACTGGATGGCAGTTCCTAAGCCCTACAGCTTTCAAGGAAGTCACTTATTGTGGCCCAGATATGTCAAACCATGGCCACATTTTAGCCTTTTTTAATCCTTACTTCTCATGTCATCAATGTGAAGACAGAATGCTGCATTATTACCACACACAATCCCACAACATGTGCCAGCCCACCCAGTCAATAAATGGCACCATGAACCATTTCTCCAGCAGGCAAAGCCAGGCTGTACCTGCTCGGGGCTCGACTGTCTTGTTGGAATCTGCATCCAGGAAGACAAACCGTCCTCCCCCGAAGTCCTGGGTGTAGTCAGAGAGGTAGAGCAGAGAGGTGTAGTCAAAAGAGCCATAAGTCACCTGAGGGGGAAGACAACATGACCAAAAATTACCAAATTCTTACTCTTACCTCTGCAGAGCACAGATAATTAAGCAGATAGATCTGATGGGTTATTCTAATTATCCAGTTTTGACACAAATCCTCTGTGTTTATTAGTCTGTTCTGTTACATGTACACACGTGCTACACACAGGAGTAGCCTGTTATGTTTATTATCACAGTTTCCATAACTCCAGAAGTGCTCCTGTTGATTTCCATCATCCAGGAGCAAAATCAACACAGTGCCAGAAGTTACACCCCTGCCTCGTGTCCAAAGTACAGCAGAGCTCAGATCTGCTTACACTATTTTAAGATGAAGGTTAATGAGCAGAAGAACAGCCTTTGACTAATGAATCCCACCCATTATCTAACCATGGTTATAGATTTCTGGAAACGTCACTTTTCACTTCTTCACCAGCTACTAGGCAGGAGCTTCATGGTAATAATAAATCAGACTTTCCAAATAAACACACATTTGTTGGAGGAATTTCTACTCTTTTCCATACAGGTTTTGTTTAAAAACCTTCAAACGTGACTTTTTAAGTCTCTGCTTCTTCTCAGCCTACAGACCAAACATCCCATTTTTAAGTATAACAAAGTGATTTTTCCTTCCTTGTAAAGCATTATTTTTGCTTGATACGTACATTGAAGATGGAGAAGAGAAATATTATATATTAATGCTCAGAGAGAAGCTATCTAAATATTTAACACTGAGTTTAGCTGATTCTGAAAATATTTCCTTTCATATCTACATGTCACCAGCAATTCAAAACATCCCTAAAATCAATGGCTGTATTCTCCCATTTCTTACCAGTAAATCACAGCTCTAGAGTTCAGCATTACACTGTCAAACAGGGAAATGTGCAGCACAGTAGTACTCTATAAACACCCAGCATTTGCAGAGTGTTTTGACTGACCTGGTGACTGTCAGAGGTAGGTGCTACTTCCAAACTTCGAAGTTTTCTAAATATTTTCAGTTATGTTTCAAGTTACATTCATTAGTGCCAGTTAAATTTTTGGCTCAAGAGCAATTGTACATATTATTCTGTAAGGGCAGTGACTGAAGAGAACAGAGCAGCAGATGGAACAGGAAGACATTCTCATTCTTACTTATTTTATTATTTTGACCATAAGGGCTTAAAGGCAGAAAGCCAGATCTGGTGATAAGCTGCACTACACAGCCTGAATCACAAGAATGAGAGAAATATTACAGTGATCCCCTTCCCCCCAATATTCTCCCAAACCTTGGTAGCAACACAAAGCAATAAATGGGGATTAACGAGCAAGTGGTACTGCAGCACCTCAAACCAGCCATTCTGCAGCCCTTCTCATGCAAATCAGCTCTGCAAAGCTATTTTCCACTTCATTGATTTGGTGATAAAACTTCCCATCAATTTAAGGAAGCCTTCCAGCCAGCAAAGGCACGAGCACAGTGAAGTTCATTCAGCTCAGATCTGCAAGTTTAAGGCATTAAAATTGTTCTTATCAAGTGTTCAGTGGTGCAGCAATCTCTGCTCCCTCAATGCACTCTCCATCCTCTCCAAGGTGGCTTTACCAATTCCAAACCTTTAAAGAGCTGCCTACAAACCATTTTAGCCTAACCAAACACATCTAATTGCTATAGATGACTAAATGTGCAAAGCAAAATCGCTTTTCTGTTCCTGCCCTTATTCATTACTAACTCTCAGAAGCAGCCAGGCCCGAGAAATTCAACACTATGGAAAGGAGGCACTAAATTATATTCAGTTAAAATGCTAAAAGTCCTCCCATGTATATCAAATGTATTTGTTACCCTGGTAATGATTTCCAGTACCAGACAGGTTAGTAATTTGAATCAGAAGTTCAAACTATGTGAGAAAAGCTGTCATTAAAACCAGGGGATAAGCAATACAGCCACAGCAAATCAATTTTCTCCAGCTCCTTATGAACAACTCAATAGAAAAAAATGCAGGTATTTCCATTCAGCCTGATATGTCATAGAGTTAGTGTGCTCTTTTTGAGCACTCTTTACCCAAAAGAGATCAAACATAGCTAGTATTTAATGGCAGATGCTCATGATGATGTTTATATGATAGTTCTTTAAAGGCGATTATTATAAATATAACTGTCAGAATTAGTCAGACACATTTTGCAGTGGCACCCTTGGGTTTCTGAGGGACATGTTTATATGCAACTAAACAGTTGTAGGACTGTGCAAGAGGTCTGCAGTTACTAAGAAGGATATTTAGGACAGCATCCTCTGCCTTCCATTGCAGAAGAAAATTCACTTTCCAGACAGCATTGGTCTAGCTTGGTATCTTGCAGGAAATAAAAGAGTAAAAAATACTCTTTTATCTATCTATCTATCTATCTATCTACTCTACCTATATCTGTGTAGATAATCACAAAAACAGCCTTGATAGTTTCTCCCAGTGATCTATTTATTGGTAGGAACTATTCAGCAGACAATGTAGGACAGCAAATCCCACATCTCTGAATTACAGGGGGCAGGAGGTGAGCTGAGGTGACAGCTCTGAGCAGACATGAGGATCAACTTCCTCAGGGGTCAAAGATGATGCTGTTTTAAGGCACAGATGAGATCTCTGGATGTATTTTATGAATGTGTAACAACATGAAGGGAAGAAAATCAGAGTGAAAAGCCAGACTCAGCAGCCAGAGGGGAGAGGGTTGGAGGGGGTTTGGGGACATGGAGAGCACGTTGCAGGTGAGGGGACTCTGAGGTTTGGCTGAAAAGGGATATGATTCCTGCCTTATAAATACATGGGGATGGGAGGAGGTGGAACTGAGAGGAGGGGAAAAATAGCTATAAACTGATCATGGCCAAGTTAAGGCTTAAAAAAAACCCAACCAAAACAATTTTGAGAAAATGTGCACTGAAGTCCAGGAATAGCTCTGATAGAAGAAATTCAAGGAAAACAAGCCCAGAAGGATCTTCTGGCAGAGCCTGATGATTCTGTGAAGGATGACAGGATCCTTGCCCAGGCAGGGGACTGCAGAAATCTGCAAGTCCCACACTGCTTCTATTAGAGAACGTTCTAAGACTGCACTGCTGACAGTGTGCAACAGCAACTCCACTATAAATCAGATTTTTGACATTTGAAAGCCTCAGTTCCAAACAAATTCCGTCCAAGATGAAACTCCACATCTTAAACCAACACTCTCTTTATTTGATTTACATGCTTATAAATTCAACAAGATTAAATGAGTCATCTGGGTGATTGCAGGGTTTCCATTTCTATGTAACTACAAACCAAATAAATTTTAAGGGAAAAAAACCCCACCAAAGCCTCAGATAGACACAATAAATCTGTACTACTCCACTATGCAGTTAAAAATCTTTAAAACCAAGGAGAGTCAGATTAGAAATATCATTGCAATAGGCTCTGCAACCCAGGGGAAAAGGTAAGAGGGGTATTTGTGTGCTACAAGAAGCCAAAATCTTTGTAACAACTGTCAGATTTTAAAACAAGAAACGCATCGGATTCTTTTCTCAAAGGTTTAATTTTGCCTTTCTTTTGGAAAGAGGCAAGAGAAAAAATCCTATTGTCTTCTAGGAGTAACCTTCACTAGGTATTTCTGCACAGCAATTAAAAAAAGTGACTTGTCCTGTTCCAAGGGAGAAGAATAAATAACGATACAACACAAAAGCATCCAACAAACTGCCAAGTTTTATTGATGTTTCTTCAACTTCCTTGTATTCACACTTGCTTTGGAGGCCACAGAAGAAGACTAATGCTCTTAACTGGGAAGCACTTCCTACCTCAGATCAATAGCAATGGATTTTTTTTTTCCTTGCTTTCACCTGCAGTCTGGAAGTGGTAAGTGAAAACTTACTTTGTTGGAGAAAGTAAAATACAAGCCAGACTGCACTGAAGGCAAGCTGTGAAGCTACAACTTCATCCTATTTAGTCTCTGTTCATACTACTTTTGATTATGAACAAGGTATTTGGTAGCTGCCAAACAGGGATAATTATCTCTTCATAGCCTCAAAGAATTATTTAGGCTGGAAAAGACCTGCAAGATCAACCACTGTCATAAATCAGACAACCCACTTATTCAGTATAGACACTATTAAGGTTTAGATTATGCATTCCAAGTTTAAGGGAGCACATTTTTCTGTCTGTTTTGGTGTTTTGAAGCTGAGGGTGGGTTAGAAAAAGCCAAGGCCAATCAATTGATGGATCTGCTCCCTGAACAGCCTGCCTGCAAGATAAACAAAACACGGACAAGACAGAAGGATAAAAACAGCAAAACATCTACCCTGCTGTCCATCATGTTCAGGCACTCTCAGGATGTCAGGACAAAGACTCAAGGGAAAAAAAAATCCTCTTCATGGAAATCTATTTGCTTCTAAATGACAAAATAACTTGTACGTTGTAGGAGATATTTAGGTGGAAACACTTAATTGTGAGGTTATCCAACCACTTTATTCATTTCTCAATGCAAAACACATGCAGAAAAGAATAAAGAGCATATTGGCAAGCTTAATGCTTGAGCAGACACAAATCTCATTATAGTAATAATTCAGGGTCTGAAATTCTGAAATATGCTGTTTGGGAGCTGAAACAAAAAAAGGGGAGAAAACAGGCATCAGCTGTTGAAATTTACTGCTTTCTCTTTCCTTGTGGCAGCCAAATTTGATTCTCTGAAACTGCAGGAAAATTATAAGGAACTGATGAATTTACTGCACTTCACACAACCAGGATCCCTGGTTTGTTCTGTGTCTCTTGGAAACGAGTGTGAGGTGCTGGAATTCCTGTGAACCCCCCCACCACAATCTGCTCCCTGCAGCCACTCCCCACCAGTGCTAGTCCAGATAATGTGGACCTCAAAACCATCCCTCTCACCTCTGGTGTCCCACAGCCACTCCTACCCACTGGTTACATCACAGCTTTTTAAACCAGAAGCCTCCAAACCCAGGCCTTGGCTTTGCTGTGTCCCTGACTGCGGATTCCACCCCGCTGGACTTTCTGCTTCCAACCAGCAGCTGGGGCAGGGACCAGCACGTTTTCTACACTGAAGCTGCTCCTGCTCACGTGACAGGAAAGGGCACAGGAGCTCACACTAATGTTGTGAGCAACAACAGACATTCCACTTGCCTCAGACTGGCTTTTTCCAGGAAATCCTTTCAGGCGAGGAATATTTCTCTGTTTGATTTTCCCATCTTAGGTGTTTCAGGTCATAGACTTCGAGGTACACTGCCCACTTAGAGATCCTAGCCCTGAGCATAACTTGGATTTTGATGGGCAGATTTTTGTTTGGTTCCATTTTGGGTAATCCATGACTCCAGAGTGACTCATTTATAAATCCTGAAGACATGAAATGTGGGTATTGTGCTGTGGAGCTTCTTTGTTTGGGGTTTTTTCATGTTTTGGGCTTTTTTCCATTATTTGTATTCTGCTATACTTCATAGAACCTTTAAATCCAGTTCAATTCAGCAATTAACTCAATACCAAATCAATTAAGTCCATTAAAAATGCAAAGTACTAAGCTCTGAACCTAGAGATAGAAGACTGAGCACTTAAAATAAAGTCACAATACTTCCATTCTAAAAAGAACACAACACTGAATTATTGAAAGGGGGTACCATACCCCCTTTGAAAAACATACAGTAAAAAAGCCTCAATTCACACATAACAGAAATATAAATGTTAAGCCTTTATCAAAAGGCTCAGATCAACTAACAGCAGTGATCAATTGACCACTGTGAAACCTCTCCTGCCAGACCTGGCTGAAATTCAGGTCAATTTAATCAATATTTCTGACAAAAGAGATTCCTGACTAGTCATTCTCACAATTTATTACTCCTAGAGAAACCAAATTAGAGAAAATAAAATTAAATGGGATGTAATGGCCTACGTTTCTAAAACTCACTTATCTCCCATTAGTTTCATCCCCTGAAGGATTTTTACAATCACCAATTTTCAAACATGTTTGACTGATTGTTTAATGCAAAATGACTTCAAAGTGAACTAATAATAACAAGAGACCTTTGAATCCCCCCTCAGCCTCCTCCTCACCTTGTCGACGTGGGGGTGCCAGTACTCATCGTGGGTTGTCTTGGCCTCTGTGCTGTTCATTCTGGAGAAGAAGGTTGGCTTGGTCAGGTACATGGAGGAAGAGCTGATCCCAAACACCTGAGCAATCCTTTGTTGAATTCTCTGCCTCACATCCCTGCAAAGAACACACAGAGCACAGAATGCTCAGAGACACCTCTCCTGCTGTTCTGAGTTTTCCTTCACTCCCTTCATTCTCAATTTAGAGCCAAGCTTCTTCCTCAGCTGATAAATCATGAGGAACCCATAACCACACTTTCTGATTTTGCCTTAAATAAAGAAGATGTACTACATACAAAAAAGTGGTTTGGGATGGGGTTGATTGCTTTGGGTTTTTTGATTCCCAGAATATCAAGGAAAAAAAACCTCTTTGTCTCCTGTGGCCTAGGTTTTACAGTTTTTCTCTATAAGTAGGCTGTTTTCCTCACTGTTTATTAATTGCTGAAAACATAAGAGTCTTTCACACAGGTATTTTTAATCCAAAGCAAGTAACTGTAAAGTTGTGCCTTCACAAAGGGTTGCCTCTGAAGAACCTTCAACTGCTTTTAGACTGATTTTGAACCACCTGATGAAGTCCCTGGCACCATGAAACTCAGGGTTCTTGATCAACATATATATTGGTATTATAAGCAGATTTCCTTTCAAAATGAATGCAAGATGTCTTTCCCAATTATTTTCAAAGATCAGATAAAGTGTTTCTACCTTGGCTACTCCTGTGTTTCTTGGGAGACAAGGAAGAACAGGACAGGACTTTTATTTTATTTCAAGGTTTTTAAGGTTATCAAAATAGAAAACTAATGGTCACATATGTGATGCTGTACAGAGCTGCTGCTCCAGTAGCACCCCTCTGTCAAGCCAGGGCCATCTAGAACTGCCCCTCTTGGTTCAGTCCCCAGCACTTTAAAAAGAAGAGATTTGTGCTTAATGAGGAACACCACTGGCAAATGCCAGTAAACACACTCAGCTAACAGTCAACTTTGAGGAAATTTAAAAACCAGCAAAGAATGCAATAACACAACGTGATGAAATGAAAACACTGGGGTTCAAGATTTAATCCTGTTTCTTAAAACCTTTGTGTTGTTTTCTCCCAAAATACAGCACGTAACTATTTTGAAAAGCAGAACAAAATCACTTAAGGAGAATAAAGTCACTTCTTAGCCTATAAAAACTCTTCTGTACAGCCCAATTTCCACTGACCTGGCCATTCCAACATTTATCAATATCACAACTGCAAGTTTTTCATTCCATTCCCTTCCCTGCTGTTCCAGACACAGCCTATGGAGGCTATTGGCAAAATACTTAAGGACAAATGTGGTGTACTTCATGTGTAAATCAAGATAAGCCAAATTTCAGCTTAAAAGGTGCTATCAAGGAAGGAGTGAGTAAGCCCAGGAACTCTGGCTCCCTTGGATCTGGTACAGCCAGAGCTTTGTTGTTCCCTCATGGACCCAGAAGCAGCAAGAGCCTCCCTTTCCTTCTTGATCCTGGCCCACTGACTCCTTATCCCTTTTCCTCTGTGTCCCCCACATATGAAAAACTGTTGGGGGAGTTCTGGTGTACTATGGCTGCAAAGAAAAACAACTTCTTTATGCTGGAGAATATAAGCATTTGCTTCCCTAAACACAGCAATTATTCCCTCATTCAGACTGCTCAGGGCATACCCTGGCTCTGAGCAGATGCACTGACTGAGCTCTGCCATGGCAATAAATGCACAAGTACAGCACCCAGTCTGAAATATCAGTAACAAATTAACTCCCCCCCCAAGTATGTCAGCATCCATTTGCACTGAGATACTGGATAATAACAAAATGCACAGGCCAGACTCAGGGAAAGGCAGAACAGAGCTCCATGAAAAGAGCACATGACCAACAGATTGTGTAAAAACAGTTACTGAAATCTATTTTGGAGTTAGGGTGATGAGGCAGAAAATAAAACAAGCCAATGAAGTAGCTAGAAGTCCAAGGAACATACAAGTTAATAAAAAGGAAGTTCACTAGATTGAAAATCATCAGTATAATGCAGCAGCAGCAGCAAAAAGGACTAAAAGAGCCACAGAACAGTTTCTGTAAGATACAGGCTCTGCCCAGAAGAGCAAAAAAAGCAGTTGAGAGCCACTGCAAAGTGATTCAAGCACGGTGACAGGAACAGCCTGAGTTCAATCCTACACAACTTCCCTGTTATCCCAGTTGTCAGCACCACTGCTCCTCCCAGGGAACAGCCCCAGACGCAGCTGGAGCAGGCAAGGCAAGGATCTCCTACAGCCAGAGAGCCTGAACACAAATCCAACATGCAGAAAGCAAACTATCAGCTCTTCCCCTGCTCTGTGTCTCTGCCTTAATCAGCTGCAAGGTTTTCACAATAAATCTTTGATAGTGCTGTTTGCTGCTCAAGTCAACCCTCACACCAAACATCCTGATTTAAAGGTCTCCCTTCTGGATAAAGATGCATCTATTCTGTGAAACAAGAGGAACTGCTGTGATGTGCTTGGCAGATGGTGGTTAAAGCATCAGCCTAGAAACCATAATTGATTCTGAAGCGACATAATTTTGACAGAGACAGTTTAGAAACCATCCCCCTGGCTCAGGATGCCTACTCAGGTCTGTTATTGTTGCAATCAGTAATACTTAGACATGAATTACATTCAGTTATTTCTCTCAAGAGTGTATTTTTAAACTGACCTTGGTAGGTAAGGGAAAGTAATGAAGATAAATGCTCCCAAGAACAGCATAAAATCATTCATCAAGGCCATAAAGTACTACAATCCATGTTAAAGCACTGCCATTAATATGAACAGAAACATTTAACAATAGATTTCGTTTTAGCTTCATATCCAGCAGGCTGAAACATCCCCTATATTGGCATGAAATCCCAGTGGAATACTGATATTCCCAAGCAGCTGTCTCTTCTCACAGCATCAATTCATTAGATTATTGAAAAATTGAATGCTTCTGTTAATGTGAAATAGAAATTATATATTTTCTTTAAATAATAATCAAGGAACCATCTCATTTTTGCCATTTTGGGATCAGAAGTAAACATGTTTTAAAGAAGTTTATCTGGAAGGACAATGGTATCTAAAAACAGTCATTGAATAGAAATAAGCTTTAAGTGATTAATATTTTAGTATAATATTAATTAATTACTATTTTAATAAAACTAACAAACCTATTTGACTATTTAAAACTCCTACCACCACTAGAGGGAGGTCAGATTCCTTCACAAAGGCAAGTAGAAAAAGACAAAAAAAAAAAAAAAGAGTTAAAGTGTTCAAACCAGGGGCATTTTAAATTATGAGAAACCAGCTGAAATGCATAACTAAAAGATTCACTGTGTCTACTCAACAAAGAATGCTTGTTCCTTTGGCCACACACCTTCACAGGCACAGGGAACTCACTGGGTTTGTTGTCTTCCTTAAGGGCGACAGAGAAGCTGAAAGCACCAGATGCCAAAGCTGTGACATTATAGAGCTACTTGTGAGGGGGATTATGCTCTCCTTCTCCAGCCAGAACATCAGTCATTTAATAATAATAAATCCTGCTTCACCATTTTTAATGTCTTGCTACACTTCACCCCCCAAAACCCACAATCCTGATGTAATAATGGCAGAGAATTGTCTCTGTCCTCTAACACAAGAAATAGGAGTTCATGAGGAAGGATTTTACATCCCAGCAAATCACCCCAGAACTCAGATAAAGCTCACAGGGCTGCATCAACCCCTTGGGCAGGGAGGGAAATGTGTGATCCCATTTACACCATCAGAACTGCCCTGACATGGCTGATGCAGCTCTGCTCAGAGCAGCTGATGTTGTTGATCAGTCACCAGAAGATCCTCTTATTTCTCTTCCTCAAGTCATCTTATTTCTCAGAGATTACTATTTTGAGCTGCAAAATCAAGTGTATGTATGAATGCAGACGACAATCCCCTCCCAACCTGCACTCTAAAAAACCCCCCAAAATACAAAGTTCAGGTTTGTGGTTCATTCAGCAGTTTTTGGAAGCCTTTACCGATACAATGCAAAATCCTCTTCTGTGAAGATGTCGTGAATTTTGTCCCCAAAGTACCTGAAAAATTAAACAACAGGCTAAAAGAGGAGTTGCTGAATGAGAATCCCTGAGTAACACCAAAATGCCTCCTCACCCCACCTGTGATTTGCTCACAGTCAAAGAGTGAAAACGCAACACAAAAAATCCTACAAATGCTTTTGAGCGTGATGTGCAAAAGCACTGCTAAAAGATTAAATGCTGAAAGATTAAAGGATCAAAATGCTGCAGCTGGTAATGGAATTCCCCAGGCATTAAAAAAAGTTCCCTCCCAAATCACAAAATGAGCACATGGATTCAAATTTTTAAGAGTTCAGTCTACTTGATTTCTCCCCCTGCTGACAAACTAGACTATAACTGTGAAAAAATACTATGATTTACTGGTGCAAGACCCTCAAAATAAAGATAATGGCAGCTTTCAAAGAGCCCAGCTCAACAAAAGATCGGTTTTCATGCCACAAAAGCTCTTTAACTGGTCGTGGAAACCGTGGTGAATCCAAGCAAATTCCACAGTTTCTCATCACTAATCCCAGCCCACAGGGCTTGAGAAATTGGAAGAGGGACTGGGCATGGATGGTGTGGGATAACAAGAGGCAGGAAGCCACAGCCCCACTTTACCTGTACAAATTAACAAAATGCTTCCCCAGGGAAAGAGCTCCGGAGTGCAAGTCCAAAATTGATGCCTGGAAAAGGAAACAGAAGGAAAAATGAGCATGAAAAGGTTTTATCATTATTTAACTATGACCTTTAATAACTGTCCCAAGTTGGCTCTCACTTTCCACAGCCTCCCAAGTAAAAATATTGGTTTCTGGCATTTGGGTTCACAATATAACGTTTACTTTACTACTCCAGACCTCTCTGAGATCATTGTATGGATGCACAGAATGTTCAGGTACTTTGAAAAAGGCACAGGACTGCTATTCCTGAGATTCAAACCTGACAGGGAATTGCCATGGGCTGGGGGTAAAATACTATGTTCCAGGATTCCTTCTTGAAGACATTTCCCTTCCACACAAAGATGACTAATTTTCCAGTATTTGTGAAGTGCTCAAGTAGCAGCACTAATATTTATCTTGCCCAGCATTTGTTATTAAAACTTCTCCTTCACCCTGAGTTCCTGTATACTTCTCATATTTAATACAGACATAAAAAAGTCTGTTTAAAAGAACAATTAGAATTCTAAGGCTTACTAAAGCCAAACTCTCTCTTCCTCAATTTCTGAACCGTTGTAAAAGAAAACCACACAGTGAAAAGTTTTTACATATGAAAATTCAATCCATTTCTTCATCCAGCTCAAGCCAAACTCTTCTGCTAAGCTCCAGATGAGCTAAAAAGATTAGTATTCAGATTGGCCAGGATGAAGAGCTACCCCTCAGGACTCTAAAATATTTCTCTGAATTGAATAAAGTACACTTTTGTATGTCCCTTGCTGTCCACAAAATACATGCTTGGTTTGCATCAGTTAAACAGTATTTAAAAATATCACTTCTAATAGCAGCCTTTTTTTTATACTGGAAATATCAAATAAAAACAGTTAATTAACCTGCCTGACACCAAAGTAATCACACCTTTGATACACAATATCCAGGCAAAAGCATTCATCTTGGAATTTGTCATTTTTTTGATGCACCACACACCATTCACATTATTCTAACAAAATCCCAGCAGTAATAACACTTGTGATGCAGGAAAACACTCATAACAGTCCCTCAGAAAAATCTCTGCAGCCTCAATTGCTCTGAGCTCCAGAACTGAAACAGGGGAACCCCACTGACATCTCCTTTTACAAGGGATAGTCTTATTTATAATAATTTTATTTACCCCTTGAAAAACACATCAAGTTTCAAGCTATTCAAGTGGACACAGCATGAGCTTTTCAGACCTCCCCTTCCCACAGTTGTCCAAAAGCTTCAGAGGACTGTTAAGAAAACAAGTAATCTCACACTCAGGCAAGAGCAGTTCTTGTAATAGGCTTTACTCAAGCTTCACAAGCAAAATACTTTCATTTATTGGTCCCTAGTTCTGTACAAAAATATAAGCCACAGCGTGTGCAGCTTCAAAAATATGTTTGTGACTCTTCTAAAGTAGATTAGAAGAAGTAGCAAGACACAGCTGAAAAGATGAATTTAATTTAAAACCAAATTGCCCTTCTAACTCTTTCCACGTCCTTTTCAAACTCACACATTTCTTCTCAGATGATTACAGTTAGGAAGATCCAAAATAACCAAGTGAATCAATAAAAGACATCTCCAAGAACTGTAGGTATAACTGAACAGGTAATAACTACAATATAAAGCCTATAAAAGCCAGATGAAGACTGAAAAAGGGAATCTGGAAAAGAAAGAACATTCTTTGGGGTTGTTTCCAACAGGGGGAAACAACCTAATGCCAGACAGGGACTTGTTTACAGGTGATCCCAGAACTATTTGTTTAACAGCTACCTGGGAAGGAAACCAAAACAGATTTATTTTGGCCTCTGCCATTTCAGAAAATTAAACATTTTCATCATAATTTCTGACACTGAGAAGAAAACCTTGGTTGCTTCAAGCCCAGCTCTCTGACCAAAGGTCAGCCTGCAGTTCAGGGCAGTGTTCCCAGGCTGAAAACTCTACAGAGATGGCAAACACATCCCCACAACCCTATTTTGAGAGGCTGTTTGACAGAACTACCCCCATATCCTGGTTTTCAGAACTTTTCTATAGAAGAGAAATAAAACTTCCTCAAAAAAATAAAAAGCACAAATACATGTTCTTTCAAACCTTCAGTACTGTTAATCCCATACTCTCTACCCTCTGCTAAAAGGATTCAAAAAGAACATTCAAGTACTCAGCACTTCTCAGCATATGGCAAAAAGGATCAATTTTCCCATCTTGGGAAGCACGACAGGCCCTCCCTTTGTTCCTCCCTAAAAGGGATTGCCAAGCATTAAATACCTATTCACATCTACACCAACTCCTCCAGCCCATAAAACGTTTTAAGCGATATTTCTAAAGAAAACAGCAGACACACTTCCCAAAGGAGAAGAATGCAAAAAACTTACTTCTGCTTGTCTACAGAGGAGCTGGCAGCACTCAAAACCTTCCCCACTGCTGCTGTGGGAATGCTCACCCACTCCAGCTGAGAAGAAGGAAGAGCAGTGGAGGTTCTACCTGGCCACCAACTCCTGGGCAGCACAAACTTGGTGTCACTGCAGGGAGCCTTGCACAGACTCCCAAAACAATCCCACCCTTACACACCCTTCCCTACTTGAGACAGGAGTAGACAGACAAGAGGTATGGTCTCAGGGAAATGCCTCTTAGATTAATTAGGATTAATTAGGAGACACAAGTGTGTCAGTCTGCTTACACATCAATCAGACTGCTGGAGGTACAGGTTATTGTGGAAGTTAAATGCAATATTTGGCTACTGAGCCCAGGACAACTTTACACCAGATACAGACTGGACACAACCAGTTTTTGGAGCTAAGCCCAGACAATCACACCAGCACACAGCTGTGAAAGACAGGCTGCCAAGTAGGTCTTTCACTCCTCCCAAGTATGGGTTTCCTAAGGGCTATCAGGAGGTTAACTGGGAAGGAAGAAAACTACACAGCCTGTAGAGGTATGAGATAGGACCTGCAGGGGCTTTATGTTCTCCTTGGAAAAGGCAGAGCTGGCAGCATTCTGAGGACCTCAGAGTTTGGCTGGGAGGCCTGAAAGCAGAGCAAGAAGGGGCACAGTCTGCAGAACCACTGTCCACACTGGCTGGTGGGCTCACACCAGAACCCCTCGTTTGGCATCACAGCTGCACAGGCTGTTTGCTTCCCCCAGAGATTAATCAATTAATTCTCCCTGCAGAGGGAGGGCTTGATGGCCACTCCTGCCAGTCCTCTGAGAATGCAGGACACACACTGCAGCTGAGTGGCTCATCCAGGCATTTCTTTTCTGGGACTTCTAAATAAATGCCAAGAGGTGTGAGGGGAACTGAGTGGTTTCATTTCCACCAGGGTGTTGTTGTGATGGCAGCACCTCCGAGGAGGTGAAGGAACCAGTCAGGACTGGAGGGGTAACACAGGCAGGGGGGTGTGCAGGGGAAAGAGTAGGCAGGGAAGAATTATAACATCACAGGAGGTTGAAAAGGGAAATGTCATTATTGCTATGTAGAAGAAAAAAAAACTAAGCTGAGGCAAACATCAAGAGAACAATGGAATTCACGTTCTGTGAGTAAGGAACAGGGTATAAAACAACTGCAGGAGACAGATGCGCAAGGGAAAGCAGCTTAGTGGTGGAGAAGATACTCCTGTTTGGATTCTGTTGAAAGTCAGACCAGAAGATTACTGTGGCCTCCTTCAGCCTCACTCTGTGTGTGTGTAAATAAAAATAAATCCAGGAAAAATTACAAAGGAAGATAAGAGAGTTCAGCATAACAACTGGGGCGTGACTCCTGGGAGGCCTCAATAATTCAGGTGTTTGTCAGGACTTTCTCAAAATAAAAAGATGGAACAGGAAAGAAGTTTTTGTGCTGTGCTTCAGCACTCCAGGGAAGGGTAGCCAACAAAGGGAGGAGAGAACTGACAGTCACAAACTGCAAGTTTAGGTCTTTAAATTAATAAATGATATCCAGACACACAGACACAAACACACTTCTGTGAATTCATAATACAATAAGTATGACAGACCAAAAAAACCCCCCCAATATGTTGTTTAAAAAGGGGCTAAGAAGAAATCCAAGGGAATGAAAATGCAGTCTGCCCCCCAGTAGAAATCTGTAGACATTTTATTTGAAATAGTGGAGAGATCAACGTGGCTAAAGAAAGAATTAAAAATAATTAAACAGCAACAAGGAGTTATTTAAGGTATTTTAAAAGAAAAAATATAGTCTTAGAACAACAGGCATAACTGGATAGAATTATCCATACACTTTAAATTAAAGCAACAAGCCAGACCTAATCCAAGTGGCTTGAAGCTTGAGAGCAGACAGGCAAAGCAGCTGGATGAAATAAGACTGGAAACATTTTGTATGCTGTGTAGGTAAGAGATTGGAAAAGATGAAAGGCTCAAATGAAGAAAGACAGTTTCATCTAAACCCCATCAGCTCACACCCAGCAGGATCTAATGACACCTGAGAGCCAAGACAGCACTGTGGGGAAAAGATTCACTCCATGACCTGGGGAATACAAGCTGGCACATTGGAAAAGAGAGAGGGAAATGGCAGAACAGGAGAAAGAAATATAAAAGAAACCTGGTAAAGAAACTGTATTTAAAGGCTTCTCTTGTACATGATTCTTCCCTGTGAGGGTGGGGAGGCCCTGGCACAGGTTGCCCAGAGAAGCTGTGGCTGTCCCTGGATCCCTGGAAGTGTCCAAGGCCAGGTTGGACGGGTCTTGGAGCAACCTGGGAGAGTGGAAGGTGTCCCTGCCCATGGCAGGGGGTGGGACTGGATGGGCTTTAAGGCCCCTTCCAACCCAAACCATCCCATGATTCTATGATCTCCCAGAAACACTGGTCAGCTCTTGTGTTTAACATCTTTCAGTGTTTATCCACTATTTTGGATAAGGCCTCAATGCAATACTACACAACTTTGTTCTTGCACCTTCCCCTAAGGATTAACAGCACACAAGAACTTCCTCACACTTACAGCTGCTGAGCCATGTGAGCAGGCTTGGCTCAGAGCCCAGACCTCTCCATGCACATCAGATTCTCAGCAGATTTATTTTATTGCAGTGATAGCATCATCTTCCCCTCTCCCTCACTTCCCTCTTCTCTAAATAAAACCTCTCAATGATGCTTCCAACATAATGTAGATGATGGATTTATATCTGTCTGATGCTCTGGCTTGCTGTCCAGCAAAGCCAGCTCAGCAGCCCTGCCCAGCTCTGTGCTTTGGGGCAGAAAGTTTAACTCCCCCTCAAATATTTTCCAAGCTTTCTCTGCCTCAGGTTCCCCAGTTCCCTGACCCCTCAGCTGGACAACACTTTCTGTGGTCCAAATCCATGAGGCTGGCTGTGTTATACCTTACCCCTGTAATCCCTCTTTGTGGAGGTGCAATGAAAAAATCACATGTAGGGCCCCAAAAGCACAGGAGAGGAAACCCACTAATGCCAGGAGCCAAGGGGAGGGTCCCAACAGGCAAAGTGGCAAATCAGGCAACCACAGAACTGGAAGAAATCCAAGGGATCCCAACAGAACTGAACACAGATTGTTAAATCTTTTAAACATATTGTTTGAGATGGGCAGCACTGCTTCAGTTTCTTGGTTTATGTTTTTTTGCAGGTTTTTCTCATCAGTCACAAGGACGATAAAGTCTTATTTTTCTCCACTGAAGCCCTTCTCCTTTTCTGCTAATACATGCCCTAATTCAGCAGAGGCCTAAAGAAGTGGCTGTGTTTGCAAATAGTCAAGAAACAGTTTCTTTTAGTACACAAAAGCATTCTGAGAACAAAGACAGGGCAAAGAAATTAAAATAAATGTGCTTGTCAAAGATAAGTGGGATGGGTTTCATTTTAAAGAATAATATTCCAAGGTTTCCTTAAGACATTACATGGCTTTTTTGTCACTACACAAAACTAATCTTTACCTGATGCTGTGAACCACTGTAATTAAGTTTCAGAAGTCAAACTATTGCAATTCTGCTACAGTAACTGTTTCCAGATGAAGAGAAAATCAGTTCAAGAGAGGTGCTAGAAATAACTAAACTGAATTCAAGGAAATGGCAACTGTATTGCACAAGTCAGGAGTTACACTGCTAACAGAGGTATTAATGGGAGATAACTTTCCAAGCAAATTTTTTTCCGAGTTTGAACAGAAGGAAAAAATTCTCCATCTCCTCGACCCCCAGAAAATGCATTTATAATCTTGCCTTGGCAGGAAAAGAATGTAGAAAGTAACAGGACACTGCTCACCCCTCCATCAGATCCTCCCAAGGACAGTCCCCTCTCTGCTATTCTGCAGGCAAAACAATAATCTCAGATGAGAACTGAAGTCTGATTACTTTGTCCTTTAATCCTTATTTACAACATGTAACTCTTCAACTGAGTTAACACAAGTTCCCATTTATTAGAAATTGAATCTTGCAGCCTGTCATAAAAATGAAGTATTTCTTTTGCAGAACATTTCTGAGCTTGCAGCTCCCTCCCATATATCCCCAAAATAACCCCAAAAACTTTATCTTTTAAATACATTCTGGCCAAGTAAAATTAAACATAAAAAACCCCAGATCTTTATTCTGAGGGCAGTACAAATAAACCTGTACAATGCAGAAATCACAATCAAGAGCCCAACTGAACTGAATCACAGAGTGAACAAAGCACTCAGGAGCTGCACATCCCTTCAAGCACTACTGACACTCCCCACTTACTTGATTATCAAGTGGAAATCACATTCAGAAAGGCTGATAACTTTTCTAACTGCACAATTTGACCCCTACTATTTGATTAAAACACAGCACTTAGTGCTCACAGAGGACTACAAGGTCAGCACCAGTCCATAATTACCCAGAAAGACTCTGCTGAAAGGAGACTTCTGTGGTTTTGTTCTGCTTTTAAAAGCCAAATGAAACAGGAGGCCAAGTGAAAATCGTTTAAAACTTATTTAATTCCTTTTCCCTTTTTTCAGTGAAGCACTCCTGCCCCTCAGAGACTCTGTGAGAGAACTGCCTTCACTACAGCAAAAATGCAGAATGGCTTTAAAAACCCCAAAATTTAGTGGTTTAACCAGTTTAACCCATCCTGCTTAAGCTACTGAGCTTTGTGCTGCACCTCAAGGACTGGCACATTGTCATTAAAGTAAGTGCTTGGAAAAGTTAGAGCTAAAAGAAAAATTACCTACGGATTCTTTCAGCTTCTTCCCTTGTGATTATGGCATCGCTCACACCCCTTCCACACCTCCTAGGAGTGCACCCTGGAACACAAAGAGGAAGAAAAAAAGCCACTGAAACCACTTCAGCCACCTACAGGGCAGGTTTTTATATGAGATTTTGCACACAAGTGTCTTGAAGCACACAGCTTAGACAGATTTGATAAAAAAGTCCCTTAAAATTCCTTGCTAAGAAATCCAACATTAAATTTTAAAAGCTCATGGGAATGAAAAGCCAGCAGTAAGAGTTCCAGGTGAAGAATAAATGGAAGTTCTTAAGGAATTAGAAGTCTGGTCCACAACAGTCTTCAGGCAAGAAGAAGAAATAAGATCAATTCTGAGCCACCAGAGACTTTGGGATGTCACACGTGGCACTTTCCTGGGAAAGATCCACACAGAGATGTAATGCCACAGAAAAGCTGGGCTGAGAGTATTTTCTGCCACCTGCCAATACATGTTCTGCTCCTGCACTGAATGTCTCTTCAAGGATTTTTTGCTCCTCAGAACACAAAACTCCTGCAAAGCAGTCAATCAATTCACCCATGCAGGTCAAAAGCAGCAGTCTGCTCTAATTAAAAGCAAATAATAAGTATGACCAGGCTGACAGAAGGAGAAGTTTTGCCACAGCACAAGTGCTTTGCAGGAATTTCCACTCCATCTTACTGGATATACCCCAGCCATGTCTCCTGTGGGCTGCAAGGGAAAGCTGCAGGTAGAGAAGAGCCAGGAAAGAGTAAATTCAAAGGAGAATTTCAATACTCCAGGACAAACCTGGCTATTGAGAGTTTCCTTTCTACAACATTCTGCAAAGCCTTCTGATCTAAGGAGAGATTTGTGCCATTTCCAGCTGCAAACATCAGCACAGACCTTATCCTTTTGGAAAGGCTGGTGCTGGAGAGTCCAAATTTGGCAAAACTACAGGGTTACCTCAGACAATTGTTACATGTCTGGGGTCTCTGACAAAGAGATGGCAGGAGGTGTTCTGAAGGCAACAGCATAAGCTTTTCCAAATGGAGAAATTAAAAAACAAACAAACAAACAAGAAAAATACAGTCCAGCATAAAGTCAGTCAGGTACCAAGAGTAAGGCACAAACAGTGGGTGAATACTAAGGCAAAATCAGAACAGTCTGTTTGAAAACAATTTCAGCAGCCAGAAATGTGTCATCTTTGTCTCAGAGACCATGGCACATGGGAGCAATGAAGCGTTAAAAGCAACCCCAGAGAACCTGCACTCAGGAGAAATTCAGATTAGTATCACAAGTACCCAGTAGCCTCCACAAATTTATGCCCAGTAGACACAAAATCATCCACTTATCCAATAAGGCACTGTCAGCTTTGGATATCAGAGATGTATTTCTTCAATCAAGGTAAAGGAGGAACATATCAAAACATGTAAAACACAAGTAGTGCCTCTGGTCTCTGCTCCTGTTCAGTGCACAGAAACCACAATGTAACACAGGGCTCCAAGTGCCTACACTGCAGCTTCATCTCCTACTAAGTGGTATTTGGCCAAAAACTGCTAAGACAGACATAATTCCTATGAGAGAAAAGACTCCATCAAGACACTCCCCTAATGCACAGAACCCATGGTCTGGGTTGGAAGGGACTTTAAAGATCATTTAGTTCCAGATCCCTGCTGTGGGAACACTTCATCTCAAAGCAGGACAAGAGCAGGCAAAGCTTTATTGGCTGCCATCCCTGTAACAGTCTCAGTGTCAGACCTTTTCCTCCACTTTCCTCACAGGCTTCTTGCTTTCCACATCCACTGACCTCATCTCTGGTAAAGCATCTTAATACTGTCTCCCACACAGGAGTTTCATCAGATACACCAGCAGCCACAGCAGTTTTAAGTAGCTAACCATGTCTCAAGGCAGCAGAAATGGCCAAGATCCAGCCACAGCCTCCAGAATGTAGATGAGACTGTGCTCACACAACACCCTTCCTTCTGCAAATACAATAATTTAAGTGCTTGGCCCCTGAAAAATAGCATATTTCATTTTGTATGGAGCATGTTTACAGGCAGGCAGTGCTATGGAAATAAAACCTGCTTGCTCTGCCACCAGCTACCACATCATTTGAAGCAAACTGGAAGCTCAGTTGCACCAGTTCAGTTGGAAGCAGGGGGCAGGCGCATAAATAAAAAGCTCATCTTAGCTGTGGAAACTTCCCAGCTGAGCATCAGACACCACGTGATGAGAGGAATGTGCCTCCTTCTGACACAGAGCCCGCAGCTGTGGGGGTCAGGCCAGAGGAAAGGCTGGGAATGAGGAGTTACTGAGTGATAGAAACCTGTTTCCAAAGTGGCCAAAGCTCCAGAGCTGGATCCAGTTTGGCAATGACCACAATTGGCATTCTGTGCCTCGCTCCGCTGCCGGTAACACACCGAGCTCGGCGCTGTCACAGCTCATCATCCCCCTCGCGTGGGGAAAAAGCCAAGTGCAGGGTTCATTAGCACAGCACGCCTTCAATTAAGCAATTAACAGCTGCTCCCGCGTTTCCAACACCGCTGATCTCCTTCTCAACGCACAGGGCAACACACGTAAAACATCTACTAAAAACACAAATCATTCCCATACATTGAGAAACAGCAGCAAGCAAACATATAGTTAGAAAATCAAAATACAAACACAAGAGGCCTCCCCTTTGTCCCTCCTGGGTTGATCAACAAGTCAATTGTCCTCATAAAGCCAAGAGGTCACAGCTCACCCTGCAATCAGCACTTGCTGCTGCTCCTCGGGACATCCCCAAGAACGGAGAACACATTCATTCCTATCCCTGACGTTCCTGCCTTCCTTAAGACAGAAAGAATAACTGATGGGGTGGATAAGACCACAAGTCCACAGCTCAGAGAATTCCTCTTGCAAACCAGGGAAGGGAAAGATAAGGGTTGTGTTGGTTTTGGGGGTTTCTTTTGATAAGCAAAAGCCCCAGTAAGAGAACACAGAGAGTTTTAATCATAACCAAATCTGTGGCAACACCAGCTGCAGTTTTCTCTGGCCTTGCACTATGAAATAAAGCCAGCAGCAGTTTCTCCTCATAGTAACTATGCCAAGTTAACACAAAACATGTGTTTTCAGGTGCCCTATCAAAAAAAATACCCCCAATAAGGAAGGTTCCTTTCTAATGGTTTCTTGACAGCTCTTCATCAGAGAAGATGAAAATCTTCCATTTTTCTTGAAGAACCAATATCAACCCTCCAAAGAAATAAGTGCCAAAGAAAACAAATCCCAATTTGACAAAAAAACCAGGCTCAGCTGAAGGACATAAAGGCAGAGAAGTGCTCTGTAGGAAGCATCAAAAGATATTAGCACATGCACATCTCAAAACAAGCGTGTCACAAACTGGTACCTGTGCAATTACCACATGTTGGTGACAGACAGTGCCCTAAACCAGTTCCATTCCATACCCTGTATGGTATCGACCAGCAACAAACTCACTCCCAAAGCCTATTTCAGGAATCAACAGAGTATGAAAAGAAACTGAAAGCAGGCTTAGCAAAAGCTTTATTTCACAGAGGCCAGGCAAAGCAGCATCAGAAGAGAATTACGCAGGAATGACAGAGTAACCTCTCAGAACAACTTCTGGGCTGGCCCAAGGGGCACGAACGTTTGGGGGTTTAAGCAACACTCAGTGACCAGGAGTTCGCTGGAAACATGGGAGTTTTGCAGCCCAAGTTTGGTTTCACAGACTCGGGTGTTACGGCCCTCTGAACAGTCACCCCAGGTGGGACAAGCCTGCCCGAATACCTTCGAACCGTCTGTGGCTGTCGTAGTCCTCCGAGCAGGGGATCTCCACGAACTTGTCCCGCAGGCTGTCGCTGCGATGCGCCAGCACCTCGGTGACCCCGTCCTGGAGGATCCCATCCCCGGAGATCCCATCCTGGGCGAGCAGGCGGCTCCAGAGCACGAGGCTGCCGACGGCCGCGGTGAGGAGGAGGAGCAGGATCGCTGCCTTCGCCCGCCATCCCCGCGGATCCTGCCGGGATCGGCCCTTCCTGGCGCTGCGGGGGGAGCACAGCAGGGCCCGTGAGCCACGGACGGGCCGAGCGGCACCGGCCGATCCTGGGGAGCCCCGCCCGGCCTTGGTTTTGAGCACAAACGCACACAAACACACACATATATTTACAAACACCCGCGATCCCACCCCACTCCCCACCGCAGCTCCCCCGGAGCCGCGGCAGGGCCGGGCCTGGGCACTGCTGCCCCCGGGGCAGCGGGCGGGAGGTGCGGGCCAGGGCCCCCCTGTGCCGGTACCTGCTGTGCCGGCGGACCCCGCGGCCCGTCCCTGTTCCCGTCGCCGGTCCCGGCCCGGTCCCGGCGCTCTCGGGGCCGCGGGGCAGCGCCCGGCGCTGCGGGGCCATCGCGCCTCCTCCGCGGCGAGCGATGCGCTCGGCGCGCCTCACCCTGCCCTGGCCTGCCTGCGGAGCGCGCTCGGCCGGGCGGGAGGATCAGGCACAGGGCCGGGAGCGGCGGAGGGGCAGCAGCGGGACAGCGGGAAACCGGGACAACGGGACACGGGGACAGCGGGACGCGGGCTGGCAGCGCCGGGACAGCGGGGCCGGGGCGGTGGGACGCGGGCCGGCGGTGCGTGCTGGGGCACGGCGGCGGCAGCCTAAAGCAATCGAGGCCGGAGCATGCGGCGGCGCCTGGTGCACCTGGACCTGAAGGGCGCCGCGCCCCGCGCGCCTTACCTGGAACAGGTGAGGGAGGGACCTGGGGCAGGTGCAGGATTTA